TGTCACGATGCATCAGCTTTTAAGACTATAATTACGATTAGTTTTAATGAGCTACCTAATTTACAGAATTTATGGGCCTCTGGATATTCATCGCAGGCGTATAAACCCAATCGCGCACTATGCGCGCCCGAAGCGGCACAGCTTTCACAGTCCATCACATCCCTATCTTACGACATATCCGCGCGAGACGCCTCACAATCCGCTGCTTTCTACCGATGACGCTCTCTCTCTCTCTCTCTCTCTCTCTCTCTCTCTCTCTCTCTCTCCTCTCTCTCTCTCTCTCCGCTCTCTCTTTCCTCTTCTCTGTCCTGTCTTTCAGTCTCTTCTCTCTACTCTCTCTCTCTCTCTCTCGCTCCGCTCTCTTTCTTTCGCTATGCTGCTGCCGCTAGTCTATCTCTGTCTCTCCCTCTCTCTGCTTTCCTTTCTCTTTCCTTCTTCTCTCTCTCTCCTCTCTCTCTCTCTCTCTTCTCGCCCTCTCCCTGCCTCGCTGTCTGTCTGCTTTCGCTCGTCTCTCTCTCTATCCTCTCTCCTTCCTCTCTCTCTCTCTCTCCTCTCATTCTGGTGCCCACAAACATTACTCGAAATTTCGCACAGATTGCCAAAATCATACCGATGGCACAAAACTTTCCACTTAATGAATATGAAGAGAAGCTTCATTCCCGGAGAATGGCGAGTTCTAAAATATATTGCCATCTAAAATACTATGAAAGACTTCGCATGCAAAACGACATTTTTTTAAATATGTGACATGAACATAAGTTCGAAAACTCACCCAATAAATCATTATCTATTAATCTCTGATTATATGCTTACCTTTGATTAATTACTATTAACATAACGGTCAATAATCATATTTCATATTTAATTACTTTCTACTTATACATCACATTTATATTATACTTCTAAGTATATATGATATATATATAATTCCTAATCAGTATTTATACTTATATACTACACTGGTTCTTACTCATAGTTCGCTACATCATTACTATCAGACCTATACTCTATATTTCCTGCTTCATTACTCGCACTTCGTACTACATTCTTTATACGTATCACCTCATACTTCTTACCTTCTTCTACTTCATACAACGTACGGTCGCCAAATCTTATTAACTAGTTAACCCTGCGACCAGAATAACACCATTCGTCGCTCTGCCAAACCCGACTTGTAACGCGATGAGCCGAGTGGGGATATTTGGCTCAGCGCCGCCGCGCGTTTAGCGCAGCTATTAGCGCAATGGCTCACTCTTCATCACGCTCACCGCACGCATTAGAAGTGCGTGTCTTGATATCCTCCATCCACCTCATTGAAGCTCTACATCGTAACTAGCCATTAGCGCGCGTTGTGTATATCTCATGGTATATATAATATATATTAAATATATATATTTATGTAGATTATATATATATATATATATATATATATATACTATATATATATAATAAATATCACGCCGCGCTGACGAGGCGCAGACGTTTTTCATGTCGACAAATGAGGTTTGCTGCCCGGATGATTTATCGCGCGCGCCGCGGTCGGCACACACGCGTGCATGACCATAAAACACGTCGCAGTTAACGCGACATAACAAAATACTAATCGCCGCTTACGTTTATTTAGAAGCAGATCGGAATGAGACTTGACATTAAGTTCTTCTATCGATAGATCACTACTTGACGCTTCTCTCTAATAAAGCAAAGCTAACCCAAAAAAACACATAACACCGCATACAACCACGCACACACAGAC